TTAAGGAATTCAAACACGCGCTGCTAAAGTAGGATTGAATAAGTCGGGTTAAAAGATAAAATGATTCACGGTAATTTCGTATGGATTTGCCTCCGCCATTCTACATTAGAGGCGGATAATACGCGCTCTTGTCACTAAAACAAGAAGATGTATGTAACCATAGTATTTGAGACAGTGGAGTCTCGTGGCTCTCGCCTACAGCGAAATTTCGACGACCATTGCATCCAATGTTTATTGTTTATTAATACTGCTCTCACTGAAATCTCCCCCACTGAAATTCATGTAAATTGCTAGAAATAAATGTAAACATTTAGAATACCACACTATATTGACTCGCTGGAACGACCGTGAAAGGTTCAGCATTAGATTAGCCAAAAAAAAAAAAAAAAAACGATTATTACTACACCAAAAATAAATTCACAAAAATAGGCACTACATTCGCCAGTTTTTTTTTTAAACCTACACAAACACAAATTAAATTATATATAGTCACATGGTTCTCTATTTTACACGTAGCTCCTCTCCATTACAGATAACACCTCACTATGTCATACAAAACAAGCATTTACGAAGATGTCAACTATTATTTCAAATGCTTCAACATATTTTTGGCGAAAGCAAAGTGTGAAGGTGCTGATATGTGGAATAGGCAATGGGCAGGACTTCTAGCACAATTTCAATTCAACGCCGATGAAGAAATACGAATGCTAACAATCGGAGCTGGTGCAGGTAATTTTTTGTAAAGTTTGGCCATTGGAAAGTCTGAAGGTATATTTTTTTTCTTTAAAAAACAAAAAATCTGCACACACAAAAATTGTGTGACAAAACTACCGAAAATATAATGGAGAAACAACGTTGTGAGCACAGAGATCTACTAGTAACTCAGAACTAGTTAAAAAACAACAAATAATTTGCACTGAATTTCTACCACCTCCCATCACAGCGTTTCTAACGGTTAACCTCTTTTAAACTTTTAAATAAGTATTATGTTCGTAACCATCAAACTACTGTATGTAGTGATTCGTTTTCTTTGTTTAGGTTACAGAGAGTGTCTGATAATCCAACATCTGTTAAAGAGACATAGTAGTATACATATCACCGTGGTCGAACCTGCACAGAAACCGATTGATGAGTTTAAGATAAAAGCGGCAAAGATCACAAAGGAATTTCCCGGTGTGAGTTTTGAGTGGCACATTCAAACGTTTGAAAACTATCAAAAGGACCACAGAGTATCAGACGATGTACGCGATGGGTCATTTCATCTTGTGTTCGCTGGACATAGTTTGTATTACATGGACGACTGGCAATATGCATTGGATGGGATGTACAGTCACGTTCAATCAGGAGGGATATTGGTGGTTACAGTAATAAGGGGGCAAGGTGAGATAATTCTGACTCGCACTGTGTTCAATAGATTGACATCGTAAAAATAATTAACCATAATGCGTCATTTATTTTCAATTATACTCACACAGCTGGGGCTGGGAGACTCGCGAAGATGTATAGAAAGTTGGAAGGTTGCAGTTTAAACTTACAGACGTCCGATGATGTTAAACACCAACTAAAGAAGACCAACTCTGAGCAGATGATTGACCAAAACATGTATCGTGAAGATGCTTATGATATATCTGACGTGTTTGACGAATCTTCTGTAGTTGGAAATTTGTTGCTTGATTTTCTTATTCAAAGACGGGATTTTAGAATGTCTGCCCCACATGGTCATCTAGAAAAGGTGTTACAGTTTTTAAGAGAAAACTCGGTACAAGAAAATGGAAAATATTGGTTCTATTCTGATGAAGAAGATGTGGTCGCGAAAAAATGACTGATTAACTTCTTATGTTGAATGTTTCACTTCACTGCGTCTCCATAATACATACACTTATCAGACTTATTAATGACTAATAGATATCCATATAAATAATGACAGTGTTTAAAAGGAAACTATTTAATTCACTTTTAACAGTGCCAAAAACGACTAACATGACAAGTAATAACAGTTATATTATATTAACAAATAAAGAAATTAATGTGATGCGACAAAATGATAAAATCGAATAATAGTCATATAACCCCTTCTCATTTAACTGAGATTTCTTACTACATTACTAAAATTGAAATGAAGATAAATTCGACATTTGTAAATGGGTTACTGAAATTACGATGACCATCAATAGACACAAAATGCAAAATGCATACTTGTTGTCTTTCTTGTTGAAAACTCAATGACACTACGGAAGAATGTTGCACATCTCGCGTTGCTCGGGATTAAAGTTGATCAACATCAAATCCGAGTGTTCATATTGATGAACTTCCGGATTTGTGTTTCAGGAATATAGCACCTTTTTAATATTTGTTCCTATCAGTGTGAGAACAATTGTTTTTAGCGCAATGTTTCAGTCATTAACGGATTATAGTTGTGTGCGGTTCGGGGTTACAATACCTGTACGAGTAATTTAGTGTGTATTTATAAACTCAAAAAAGGTTCTGGCGTATTAATGGTTTTGGGGGTACCCATTGATTACCGCATTAATTTCATGGATGTTATGACTCACAAACAATATGACTCTGAATAATGTTGTCTCATCATATTTAAAGACTTTATTAAGATACTCCATGGAACAACATCCATAGAATACACATACGTATTTAGTCTGTAAATATTGTATTTAAATTTAAAAATCTTCACAGATTTTGAAATACAGAGAGAGAAAAGATAATACATGTAAGTAGTGGTTTTACGCAATGTTTAAGTCATTGGCGGATTATTGTTGTTTGCGGTTTGGAGTAACAATAACTCTACGAGTAATTTATTGTGTATTGATCAACTCAAAAAATGACTTGGGGTTGATAAAATGGCCGCCACAGCTACCATTTTATTCAGGCTACCCATCATCGATTACTACATTGTTTTTTGTATGGCTTTTATGAACCATATAATCTTGTCTCATCATATTTAAGTACTTCATTGAGATACTCCATGGAATAACATCCATAGAATACACACTCGATTGTCTGATAACATTGTCGGTATCACAAATTACAATGTCAAGTTTAAGGGAGAATAGTGTACATTTCTTGTACATAATGCATGATACTTCCATGAGTATACTAACGATCACTGTCTGTCGAGATGTGTACAAATCGATTTTAAAACGATTTTATTATTCATATTTACTCTGTAAACTTTCGCGGATTTTGATATACGGGGAGAAAAAATGGTAAAAAAAAATACGAAAATCATTATACAAAATCTTACATTATTACACGGAATGCAACTAATATATCTAGACACACTTGGCTGTCATTTGTAGCAAAATAAATACCACTACAGAATGAAACAATTTATTTGCCATTGAATATTTGAAAGACAAAATGGATAGCATGTCGATTAATATTTATATATGTGAAATTGAAAAGGATATATCACACTATATCACGAAATACAGAAAACGAGAACTTTTTAAATACAGGGAGAAACTATATTGTAAAATAAATTTCCAAGAGTTAATCTAACTAAAAAATGTATTATAATTTTATTTATTTTATTGTGAAACCAATATATGTGATATATGTTTGCACGGATTTCAAGTCAAATATGAATATAGTTGAATTGATCTCGTGATGTAACAACTTTCGAGGCTATTAGACTTAACGTAATGTATAGATAGTGACAGCAAGATTTTGAAAATTATATTGGATTATGTTTTTCACAGACATTACAGTATGGCATGGGTAATGTATATTTATTTTACTCGTTATATTCTGTTAGTGTCATTAATACTTGTTATCTTCTTTGAAACAGGTTTTGCAATTTACAAGTATCCTGAAATAAAAATGATAATAAAAAAAAAACACTGTCGAAAGTTGACGTGTTGCACTTACCGTATATCAATCTTAGTTACAGTTTCTGTTCCCTAATTCATGATATCGAGAAATATCACTCTGAAATGTGCAGGTAAATCTTCCTTCATCTAAAACAAATATTCAGTTATTCAAAATATTCATATTAGCCAGACATGCATATAAGGGAAAGCGACCTTCTGCTCGAATATTGTCAGAGGTGCACGAGATGTATGGCGGTACGAACTTTTTTTTATTCTGAATGTTCCTAACATGGAATTATTATTATTATTATTGAACGCAAGGTTGACATGTCTTAAATCACTAAATCTACTTTAATTATTTATTTATTAATTATTATATTACTTTTGACGTTCCCTTTGACTGAGGTCTACTGCTCAAATAGTGGCAAGCTGCAACGTCACGATATAATAGAAAACTCCAAAACGCATATATGGTTGCCAAACATTTGCAATTGATGCTATAATGACCCACGAAGCTGTACTTGTTTGTCGTCAAAGAAACAATGCTAAAAGTGGAAACAACTAGATGACGTCTTAGTTAGTTTAGAACGTTCTAGCAACCGACAGTCTCTGACGAATCCATTTGCTGGTGCAGATAATTTAGTCAAGTGCGCATTTCTTCAAATTGTTTTTAAATTTATCCACAAAGCTTTTTCTATGGGTCTATGATTTAACATAACGGTATTTATCAGAAATCTTAGAATATTTAACATTCGGCAATTCAAATTATATAATGCCTCAGAGTGAAAAAAAACATCAATACTGATTCGAACAATACCACGTATTGACACTGGTATATAAGAAGCAAAATCACAGGCCCATTAACGCAACAATAGTTGATAATAAATTAATTCTTATTCATCAAGCTTTGTGATTTAGTTTTGCATCAAAAATTAAATAGTTTAATAAAACTAAATAGTCTTTAAAATCGCAGTCATTCATATTCATGATGAATCAATTTTGCTTTCATAAAAAAAAACAGTTTCCTGAAGTTCAGAAAAGTTTTGCTTTTTTAGGTTCGATGGATTAACAGCCTTATGTGGGTCATATAATACATTTTAATAGTGCCAAAGTTTCACTATGACCTCGGCATCATGCATAATTGCGATCTACGCGAAAAATGCTATCAAGTCACTGGGAGCATTTGATACGTGACATCGATTTTTTAAATATTTGCTCAGATAAATTAAACGTAAAAGGCTCCTTGGCAAGTGTAGGAAAAATCAAGACTAATGCCATCCTTAGCTGATACAGAGGCTGCACAGGGGCTATTGATGCCAACTGCATGTTGCTGAGAAGAGACACTTTTGACTACTAGTATTTAACATGGCTCGAGTAATATACTTGCTACGCTAAATCTTGTGAATACGCCAGCAATGGTTCAGTCAAACCTTGTGATAGGACGCCCTCTCAGGTGGCTATGAGTGCAGAAGATTGTTCAAGATTATTTTCCTCAATCACAAAACGCTGACAAAAGTTTACCACAACTACAGTCAGCCTACTAGTAGAGTGATTGTGCCACAACTGATTCCAGTGGAAAGCGCAATCAATAGAACAGCATATTTTAACAGCACGTCTTTTACTGGTAGTTGTACAACAACATCATGACAGCATTGTACACAACTCGACCTTACAATTGAACCGTTTTTTACCGATGCCAGTGTTCCCTGTCGCCCAACAACTGCAGAGGTGTATTCATGGATTCCTGTTATGGAAGAGAAAACAAAATATAGTTTATTTATACAAAATATAGGTTAGTTTATTATTTGAAAATCATTATTGTTCTGTAGATTTTCAAATTTATTGTACATGTGTAATAACCAAATGTGAAGCTGTATGAACATAGCAATGCATAAACATTTAATGATGATGACCACATAAGAATATTCATAGAATGGTGAATGTGTTGTACAGCAAAGTAGTTGTTATATTGTGATAATAATTAAAAGCATTCTAATAATACTGACCCAAGATGATCAGATAAGGAAATCAATGTCCCCGCCTAAATGGGAAAATTAAACCAGTGCATGTTAAATTACAAGGCTATGTAATGATTGCTCAATACATGTTCATGCAAGCACTGCCTAGTCATTTCTGAAGTAATTTGATTTACTAGTTTCCAGAGAAACCAAGTAACGAATCTCCTGAAGAAAATTATTTTAATAGTGTATTTTCGTTATATAATGACGCCGTGATTTTCGAGTTTTACTAGATTGATAAACGCCGAGGTTGGCTTTAGGTAAACGTAGTGTTCCAAGTTCCCAACACCGGAGGCATACAAAGGTTCCGTCAGTGGTTGGACTTCACATTTTCGTAGAAAATATACAGAGATTGCCAGCTGCCCTGAAAATATAATGCATTCTTACATTTATATGTAAACTATTTATTTACTACTGTCAAAGACTTTTTTAACAGTTATTTTTGACTCCCATGTGCGAAGCACAAAATGGGAGTCTTTGCAGTTAGTGTGTCTGTATGTGTGTGTGTGTGTGTGTGTGTGTGTGTGTGTGTGTGTGTGTGTGTGTGTGTGTGTGTCCGACTGTTCCACTGCTATCTCAAGAACCATACATCGGTTTTTGATGAAACTTGGTGCATAGATGCTCTGAGACAATGCGCAGATTTGATTAGGTTTTGGTAAAAATCCATGCTCGTTAATTACCTAATTTGCATGATAATTAGCTAATTGTTAG